CCCTTCACTTGATTCTTGACACATAGTAATGGTAGAGGGACAGACATCATCACATGCTACACAAATAATTACACAGACAGGACACAGGGCATGGCTGTCATCTCACATTTGTATTTTAAAATGACTCATCTGAGGGAATGCTAGCCTCAGTGAAATCCTAACCTAACAAACATTAATTTTACTACCTCTAAACTGAGGTTAGTAAGAAAAGCCAGTGTTATTTTCTGTTCTCTCTCAAAAACAACACTTCCCTTGGTTCAAAGTCTCTGTAGTCTGGGGTGACAGATGTCTCACTGTCTAGGTGGGCTGTTCCTAGACCAACAAAGCAGACTCGTCCCAGTTATTTCCGATGAAAATATGTTTGAGTTTTTGATGATTGCATACCTGAAATGAAAGGTCTTTTCACTTTTCAGATGGCACACGCCACATTGTAGTTGCCAGCTCTCTGCCTCTATTGCTCATATAAACCAAAAGGAAGTTTTGTTTCACTTCTCTGAAACTTTGACTGTGAACATGAGCATATGTTTAATGGGGAACAGACAGCTATTTGAAAAGTGGGTGAATGTGGCTGTTGTTAAAACTATACCTCTTCTGATACAGATTTGGACAGGTCCTGGTTCGGATTCTGTTTCATGAATTACACATATGCACATACACGGTATCCTGGAAGTCACAGAGTTCACGGCAATAGCATATCACTAAACGTGATGACATTAGGTGGGGAATACGCCCCCATGTCCTTGTCCTCAGGTTAACTCCCAGTTTCTCGTACGGAAAGTGGATCATACTTAAGATCTCTGAACAGATGAAGCTAACACTTGTTGATAGGATGAACATGGTATTATTGAAATTAAACTGCTGGCTACGGATACCAGATGCACAGAATATCTAAATGAAATAAATCCAGAATCCAGGGGAGTCTCTGGAGGGTTCTAAAATATTTTTAACAGGCACATCCAAAAATTTAGAATTGGAGATTCTTTTTAAATTTTCTTCAACTGTTTTATTATTTTTAATTCTTTCTAGTCAACAAATAATCATAGCCTACATTTACAGGGTACAATGTATAAAATTACAATGATGATGTGAGGTTTCAATGTATGTGTACAATGTGGGATGATTAAATCAAACTAGTAAACATCACCTTGCTCACTTATTTCTGTAGTGAGACATTTGAAATTTAGTTCAAATAACTAAATCTGTTAGTTATTTGAAACATACAACATGTTAGCTATAGTTACTCTGCTATAGAAATAGATTTTACAACTTATTTCTTCTGTCTATCTGAGACTTTGTACTCTTTGGCCAACATCTCCCCATTCACTCCATCCTTCCCCCCAGCCAAGCATCGGATCATCATTATTCTTGTCTGTAATTTTAGGAGTTCAGCTTTTTAATATTCCACATAGGAGTTGTCTTTCTGCACCTGGTTTAGTTCCCTGAGCTTCATGTCTTCTACATTCATCATGTTGTTGCAAATGAGATAATTTCCTTCTTTTTAAGGGTGAATAATATAGTCAGGGTGTCCATAAAGTTCGTGTGCAATTTTAAATAGTCGGCTATAGTGTGTATGTATTTATATGTATTTTCTTTATCCACTCATCTGTTAATTCCGTATCTCAACTTCTGTGACTAATCCTGCAACGAACATGGGAGGGCAGATAGTCCTTTGAGATATTTATTTCAATTCCTATGGATACATACCAAAGAATATATATTCCAAAGATATATACCAATTCCCAACATGGCGTTGCTGGATCATGTAGTATTTCTATTTTTTAGTTTTTGGAGGAACCACCATAGAGTTTAATAATTTCTATACTAACACTCCCCCCAAAAATATACAAGAGTTCGCTTTTCTCCACATCCTAATATTTATCCTTTACTTTAATTTCTAAGAAAAGTTTAGGGGTTACAAGTATTTTTTGTTACATCAGATGTTGCTGTACCCATCACCAGAATAGTGTATATTGTACCCAATAGGTAGATTTTTATCCCTCAATCACTCCCACGCTCTCCTCTTCTTAATGTTCACTGCCCACTATACCACTTTCTGACCATATGTTACCTCATTAGCTCCCACTTAGAAGTGAGAACACGTAGTATTTACTTTTCCATTCCTAAGATACTTTGCTTAGGATAATGACCTCCATTTCCACCTAACTTGGTGCAAAAGATGTTATTTCATTCCTTTTTATGACTGAGTTGTTCTCCGTGATATGTACCTATACAGGGGAGCCTCCATACTTGACCATCTTCCTACATTGACCACCTCCTTAAGTTGACATAATTTTCAGATACTAAATATGTACCACATGTACGTGTCAGTACATCAGGCCTAGGTCCTTATGTTGATCAACTTGGTAGGTTAACCAGTTTGCTACAGTCCCTTGGGTGGTGAAGTTACAGAGGTTCTACTGCTTGTTATATATATATCACATTTTCTTTTTCCACTCATCAGTTGTTGGGCACTTAGATTGATTCCTTATCTTTGCAATTATACATTGTGCTGCAATAAACATTTGAATGTAAGTGTCTGTTTTATCAAATGAGTTCTTTTCCTTTGGGTAGACGTCCAGGAGTGGGTTTGATGAATCTAGTGGCAGGTCTACTTTAGTTTTTGAGGGATATCCACAAAATATCATAGTGGTTCTTCTAGTTTACATCCCCATGAACAGGGTATGAGCATTCTAGTTTACAGCGTCCTCACCATTTGTTTTCTGCATTGTTGTTAATGGCCATTCTGGAGGGGTAAGGTTATCATTTCTCTGCAGTTTTAATTTGTATTTCCCTGATAATTAGTGACGTTAATTTTTTTGTGTTTTTTGGCTATTTTTATATCTTCTTTTGAAAAAAATCTGTCAAGTCTTTGGCTCGGTGCCCATAGCACAGTGGTTATGGTGCCAGCCATATGCACCAAAGTGGGTGGGTTCGAACCCCACCTGGGCCAGCTAAACAACAATAACAACTGCAACAAAAAAATAGCTGGGCGTTGTTGCAGGCACTGGTAGTCCCAGCTACTTGGGAGGCTGAGGCAGGAGGATCACTTGAGCCCAAGAATTTGAGCTGTTGCAGTGAGCTGTGATGCCATGGCACTCTGTCTTCAAAAAAAAAAAAAAAAATCTGTCAAGTCTTTTAGCCACTCTTTTATGGGATTATTTAGGGTTTTCTTTTTTTCTCTTGCTGATTTGGTTGAATTCTTTGTAGCTTCTGGATATTAGCCCTTTGACAGATGTGTAACTTGCAAATATCTTCTCCCATTCCATAGGGTTTTTATTCTGTTGATTATTTCCTTTGCTGTGCAGAAATCTTTACTTTAATTAAGTCCTATTTATCTTTGTTGCATCTGTATTATATTTGCTTTTGGGGTCATAGTCATAATTTTTTGCCCATATACTAATGCCCAGAAGAGTTTTACTTATGTTTTCCTCTAGAATTTGTAGGGGTTCAGGTTTACATTTAAGTCTTTGGACCATCTTGAGTTAATTTTTATATCTGGTGAGAGACAGGGGTCCACTTTCATTCTTCTTCTGGATGTGTCTATCCAGTTTTCCCAACATTGTTTACTGAATAAGGCCTCCTTTCCACAGTGTATGTTTCTGTATGATTGTCAAATATCAATTGATCATAGCTGTGTGATTTTATTTCTGGGTTCTCTATTCTATTCCATTGGTCAATGTGTCTACTTTTATACCAGTACCATATACTCTGATACTGCACAATAGCCTTGTAGTATAATTAGAACTCAGGTAATGTGATGCCTCTAGATTTGTTCTTTTTGCTTAGGATTTCTTTGGCTATTTGTGCTCATTTTTGGTTTAATATGAAGTT